TCACCGGGACCCTTAGATGTTGAGGACGCTTTAGAGCGTAGGCCCGAGGACATTTCTGCATGCCAAACGGCACTAGGCGAAATCTTATGGGTCGCTGGGCGCACTAGACCAGACGTGATCTTTGCTGTTTCTCGTCTTGCCCAAACCATGACAAAGGACCCAGCTACGGTGAGAAAGAGAGTCATGCAGCTCATTGGGTACCTGGTTTATACACAGGATCTTTGCCTCCGTTATCGCGCTACTTACTCGTGTCAGGGTGAACCAGGCGCTACTGCCACACCGAACGCTGAAGGTGTGATCGAGGCCATGACAGACAGTGCATTCGCACCTGTATGTGAGCGGTCGCAAGAGTCAACCCTCGTGTACACCCAAGGGTCTCTCACGGGCTGGAACACAGGCAGGCAGCCCTTTACGGCTGCATCAACCGCAGAATCGGAACTTCTGAGCTTGATGTCAGGGTTTAGCTTCGGTCGTGCCCAAACCTATGTCCTTCAGGAGTTTATTGGCACAGAGCCACGGTTGATTGTATTGAACGACAACATGGCCTCAATTTCGATAGTGAATGGGGACTCCAACGGATGGAGAAGTCGGCACTTGCGGATTCGCGCACAGGTGTTGAGGGAACAGGCCAAGGAGGGACATGTTGTCGTAGGGCACATAGAGGGAGCCAAGAACATTGCCGATGCCGGCACCAAGGCATTGCCGTATCCTCGTTTGAAGCTTCTGCGTGACGGTATGGGTCTAGAGGCAAATAGGTTTGCTCATGATGCGCCCTCGAGTGCAGCTACGAAGGTCGTTGATCCGGTTTCTGCAGCCAAGATTCGGGCTGTTGTGCTTGCATTGGCCGCCGTTACAGCGGAGGCTCAGGAATCGCCCGAGGAATCAGGAGGTCACAGTTACGAGCTGTGGTTCTTAATGGTCGTGGTATGCTGTACATCAATTGCTCTTTGGGAGGGCATGAAGTGGGCATGTCGTTGGTGTTGTAGGCGAAGCAGAAGACAGACGAGAGACGTTGAGCGACATGAGCCAGAAGAGGAGCGAAGTTCAGATGGCGAGAATCAACCTGATGAGGAGGATGAGCTTGAAGAGCTCTCGCCTTTGGTAGCCGACAGGGTAGAGGACCATGATGTAATTCGTGAGTTCACTGTGCCTCGTGAGGGGATCATCGCTCGTTACGCTGATGACGTGTTGTATGTTGGCCCCCCCAGAAGAAGAAGAGAGGCTGAGAAGAAGAAGACAGGGACAGAGAGTCTATCATGATGAGCCGGATGTTGAGCCTAATGTCGTTGAAGCCTTCGGCCTCCCGCCCCGAAATGCTGAAAACAGGGTTCGTCAGGCCATTGAGGCCCAGCGGGATGCCAGGGGTTCAAATGAAGGCCCAAACTGGATGCCAAATCAGTTCGTGAATTATCCGGTCATTCAGTTGCGAGCTGATTGGCCTGCACCAGAAAACCAACCTCCACTGGCACATTTGGCAGTTTACCAGTCCGCTTGGGGTGGGTTAGCTTCAGCGTTGCATCAGCTTCGGCCTAATGATGCTTACACGCGAGATGAGTACACGAGGCATGATGCACGACGGAATGTGTTGATTCGTTGGCACTTTA